TGGTAACTTACTTGTCAGTGATATCTCCATGGTAACTTACTTGTCAGTGATATCTCCATGGTAACTTACTTGTCAGTGATATCTCCATGGTAACTAACTTATCAGAGATATCTCCATGGTAACTTACTTGTCAGTGATATCTCCATGGTATCCTACCATCAGAGATATCTCCATGGTAACTTACTTGTCACTGATATCTCCATGGTAACTTACTTATCTTATCAAAGATATCTCCATGGTAACTTACTTGTCAGTGATATCTCCATGGTATTTCCTCCAAACTTGTCTTCCATGGACGAGTACGTCAACAGACCGAGGAACCACATGAATGATATCATATTAGCACAGAACTTTGCCAGCGGTGTTGCTAACATACTGGACAATGAGTTGTGTGGTGTCATCAGGTAGAAAAGTGACCAGACAGGAAAGAAAAGGAAGAACAATGACAAGAATAAATATTTGGTGATGAATGAACGATACTGCCAGGAATAGAGGCCCTTGTAGAGGACTGAGTTGAGCATGAGTTGGCTGTATGGATGGGCTACAAACTAAAATAAAAACAGACAGCGTCAGAGTAATATTCCACAATTCAACACGATATTCACTTCAGTTTAATGTATATGGATTAGATGTTGATCAAGTGATCGCGTTAAAACTGACACCGATCCGAAACTCTTGAAGCGGCTGGTTTGTATGAGATGGATACTTGAAGATGTTAATGGATTCTTCTTTAAAAAATCAATTCTCTTAATTTAAGTGTCTAGTCGTTCTAGCGCTTTCGTACTAATTGGGAACACGTTTCACTCACCGTACTCACTGCCATGACTACATTCAATGTTCTATGCACATATTGCTCAACTCACGTTTTGATTTTTCATGTCTTTAAAACAAACTTTTCCTTTATCTTCCCTCACCTCCCCCCTCCTCCACATCCACACACGTAGGGTACTCAATGGCCCTTGCCTCAATATATTGTTTAGTAACATTGGCTATATGCATAAAGTAGGCTCTCCGAAGCCGGTATCTCGTGATGATATATGATGATATATATTGTGTAAGTGTTACATCAACTTACTCGCTCGTTCTTGTTTTTGATCGCGAAATTCAGCACGCTAAGATCTGCCACATCGGTATCAACATCGCTCCTCAATGGTCGGTCACTCTGTAGAGAAGTCATGCTCATCACACAACCTATCTCGTGCATGTTACGGCAAAGATTCAATAAATCACTTGCATATTCCTCACATTGATTGGACAACTGTCTGTACTCCTTCATGAATTCATACTCAGTCGCTGCGAATATTTCTAGCTTTCCATTCAATTCAAACGCGCGGTAAATAGGGTCGAGCTTCGCCCTAAAAACATCGATATCAGGAAGCTCTACTCCAGCTTTAGCGTATAGACTATCTATGTCATCTTCAGTTGGTTTTTGTCGCACTTCTGGAGTTTCGTAGAATAAAGGGACAGCATATAGATAGCAATACGACAAGTACAGAGGACTAGACAAGGCGCTGTATGTGTTTAGTCTGGACAAAGACTTCAACAACACTCCAAGAGAACTACAGTCTTTACATTGACAGGATCTTGAATGAGGCTCTCTGATAAGAAACCCTTTGCTCAAGATAAGTTGAACAACCTCGCGATTGTTTTCATGTACTGCTAGAACTAACGCTGCTTCAGCAAGAAAGTACAGCCTCCATTCCCCACCATCAGCTTTCTTGAAGAGCATTTTGTTAACTTTGACGTCATGTTTCTGTCGATCAAGGAAGCTCCCGACTTTCTCCAACTCCCCTTTCTTGGCTGATTCTATGAAGTGGTTTTCATTTTCTTCTAGCGAGTACAGAGACGTTAACACGCTAATAGGACAAACAAATGCTGATGTAGCTTGTTGTTGCTTCAGTCCTCGGTTGACAACCTTCATGGCTCAAATTGAAATAGTTCTGACTAGTCTCTCATCTCAGTGAATCAGTAGTAGTTCTTCCAGTCGATAGGCTCCTTGTTCATTTGAACCAACAAACTGTACCGTTCGCAGACAATACGTAGACGCCGAATTACCATTTCAAATGCACACAATAACGGGAAAAAGGTTCAATGTAATTAGCATACTAACAAGTGGATTTGACTGTGGTACTCAAAGCTGCCTGAAATAATTATGACTTTTCGTCTATTTTTTCGTCTATTTTCTTAAAAAATAGTTTTCAAATTTGGCTCTAATCGAATCTAGAGCGCAAAACTTTTCCTTGCAGTGTTTAAAGCGGGTTTTTGGTTTTGTAAAGTAACTTGCTAAACCAACAGAGAGTCGCGTAGCCCGTTACCAAGTCTACCGATGGTATACTAATGGAATGACGGTCAGATATTCAGTGTCCGATACGATCTAACTCAATTGTACACAATCCTCTCCAAGCATGTGTGTTTTTATCAATATCTTTCAATTTACCCATAAAAAATAGTACCTTGTCGATTACAGTAAAGGTTGCTTTTATTATGTATATTCAGTCGCAGTGTTATACATATAGAAAAGGGGCCCATTGTTCGCATCAGTTCATGCCTTCCTCCCTCCCCAAAGGTTACTAGCTTTTGCAGTGTTTTAAACATCTGTTACGCTGACATTGAGTATGAAGAAGAAGGTTTGAGTAGTCGATAATAGTGTTACGCTGTTGAGCATGAAGTGAAGAATAATGGTTTAAATAGATAAAGGAATTGCACGTGAAAATTGGGATTACATTAAGACTATATAAGAAATGTGAATTTGAAATATAGTGGACCAGTTAATATTGAACTCCGAACTCGTACGACTGATGTTTTTGGGCCCAACGCATCACATCATTCAGAATTTGAAGGAATTCTCATTTTAGCCACTCTTACATCCGACCAAAAAACAACCAATCAAATAACTTTATCTCAGCAATTCAGCTTATCTAAATTTTAGCTTTCTTTATCATTTATTCCTTTTTTTCCCCGCACAGGTGTTCGAATTCTTTCAAAGCTCATAACTCCCACAGCTTTGAATACTGCTCCTCCAGTGTCTATATTTTTCAGCTGTTTCATTCTCTTATTATATTTATCTGACGTGATTCAATTAATTTCGTATAAACAAAACTGTTAGTTTATAATACAAAACTTTGGAAAGAATATTCTAGGGAAATCTACTGATGTTGGTAGTTCTGCTTCGACAGAAACTCTTGACTTGAAGTTGTTCAGCCAGTGTACTTCAAAGATTTACTTTGTTAGTCATATTATTTCAGGGGGATATATAGTTCTTGCATTAGAAGTTCCATATACCGGCATGGAATAGCCAGAAGAAATCTATTGAAACAAGGTTTTTTCGTATTGAAACTACGAAGATGGCGAGCCGAAGAATGGGCGTCAAAATAACCTCGCAAGATGTAAGTTGATACAATTCTGTCGTTGTTCAAAGCGCAAATATGCAATTAAATTTTATCTTATCTTCAACGGAAGTTTATTATAAACTTTGGTTTCAAACTCTCTTAATCATCGAACCCTGAAACCACACTCTGGGCTGCTCTAAGTAAGGGCACGGCTGACTTACAGATTKAACCCTGAAACCACACTCTGGGCTGCTCTAAGTAAGGGCACGGCTGACTTACAGAATTGGAATTTAGCGTGTTAGGCTTGGCAGAGGGTGGAAACATATTCTGTATTCAATACTTTTTAATCAACTCTATGATCCACAGATTCCAGGATTCATCTTCCTTTTCATTTTGATTGGTCTTGAAATACGAACTAGCCTTCAACAGCATTGCCCACAAGCACAACCTGTGTTGGTAGCAGAAGCAGGCCACGCTCTCATTGGTACAGTGTACACATGCTTCCAAACAGAACGCCATCCTTTGTGCTTACTTGAGTGCGAGCAATCTGAGTCTTGCATGAGCTTGAACTATTATGAGAGAACAAGTACTTGCTGTTTGAGCACACAGACCAAGGAGTCACGTCCAGAACGGTATGAACAGAGACGTGATTGTATCTATTTTAAGAATCCTTCTGGAAGAATCCCAGGTGAGACAAGCTTCACTTAATATATCCTTCATCTTTGATCGTAATATTTTACAAATCATCAAAACTTTTGGAACATGATCTTTATAGACTTTTTCATTTGTTTAAACAGCAACGTTCATAGGAATGAAGGCGTTTCCGGCCAAGTCATGCCTGGACATACTGGTCAGCGGAGGATCTATTGGAACAGGCGTATACTGGCTTGATCCGGAAAACAAAGGCAACCCAATCAAAGTCTATTGCGACATGGAAAGAGATGGAGGTAAGTATGTAAGTGAGTGAGTGAGTGGTACTGGATTGAAAAAGTGAAACTGAATCTTATCCCAATGAATAAAAGTCATTTATTTATATTTTATCTTAATGATATTTGACAGCTCTTTATCTGTCAGGTGGATGGACGACAGTGAAAAAAACCGTCCTACAAACCACTTCCTCACCAATCAGAATCCCTAACGAGAGATTTGAAGACTATCATGTGATCGAAGAATACCACAATAATGATGTGAACGTCATACCAACAGCAAAGGCCATGTCCAGCATCATTCAGTTACTGGGATTCGACCAGATTCATTTTTATTGTCACAAGAAGTCTGTCGGTAGAGTCGTGAGCATCATGATCAAGAACGATACCGCTGCCCAGCAAGTAGTGCGGTTCTTTACCGAAGACTTTGGTTTCCCTAATGCTTGTGGCTCGTTTGAACGATTGCCCGAAGACTCATCTATCATGGTCAATGCTTGCGAAAAGTGGGGTAAAAATAAGAGCGATGGCACAGAAATCAATAAATGGGGATCTTTGAAGTTTAAGGGACCAAAAAGATTGGTTAGCAGGCCTTTTGCCATGGAAGGGAACGACAAGCACGCTTTTGGCATTTATAACAATGCAGGCTTTTATCTTATGTGTGATGACAGCGAGGATGCAGTCAGTCCGTACAACTCAGGAGATATCTTGCAAATCTCAGTACGCTAAATTTGTTCCTCTCACTTCTCAATCCTAGCTAATTTACGTGTATTCATCAATATCATTATCACAAGGCAAGTTAGTTTTCAGTAGAACCTGGTGCATTAGGACAAGGTATACGCAAACATATTTTTATGGGAACCGAACTGAGCTTTCAGTAGTCTAAATGAGTGCTGGTTTTTGACTCCGTTTTAGGATTTACTGTTGTATAGTATAGACGTTTAATGTTTTTTTATTTAATGACATCTCGTTGTCATCTGTACATACAGCATACCATATCACCTGGACACGTGTGTGGATGTTGTATCTCAAAGGGATAACGCAGTAATACGTTATATATTCGAATCTAGGGGAAGACGAAATTGCTTGCCTGGTAATAATATATATATATCAAAAAAGTGCTTGAAGTTAAAAAAAAAAATAGTTGCACAAGAACAAAATCTTAAAAAGTAGGAGTTTGTTTCTGAAGAGTTTAAGGTATGTTTGTTGGGAAGTCAGTCTGCTATTTTTAGTTCTTCCAAATTTTAGCTAAGATTTTTTAGTCGGTTCACGCTGAGGCCGAAAGGTATTCTGGGAAATAGCATAATTTTCCTCTGATGTATTAATTTGAGATACACAGTCGATATGAAAGGTGTTAAGAGCCTACTTGCTTCCTAATTAATACATCCATTTAACGTACTTCCCATGAACCATTTCGGTCTCAGCTTCTATGTTCTATGTTACCTAATGTTCTAATATATTCGACAATGATTTTGCAAACGTGGTGCTTAATACATTGATTGCGTAAAGGAATAAAGCTTGAGTAAGCACAAACTGTATGTCTTGAACTTCGATAATCAGAAACAAAAGGCACGTTTTAACATCTTCACAGCTGTCTTCAGTTTTATTGTTAAAGCTTCATGTTTTTCGTATCCACTGTTTAGAAAAAATAAAGCTTAGTAAACTCACCTTCTATACAGTAAATACAGATGCAATGGAAATGAGTTATAAGGTCAGAATGAGGAGGAATATTATATTTTCTTATCATACAATCTACAAAGAGGATGAAGTTTTTGATAGCAATTGTTCTGGTCGTGCTTGGTGCTGTTTTAGCGGATGAAGGTAAGAATCGCACCCTTAAATTTTATCGATACATTGAAACAACCTCTGGGCTGTTAAATTTCAGGGCACGGACAATCAGAATTTTTAAAACGTGTTAGGTCGTGCGGAGGGAGGAGAAACAGTTCGCTTATTGATGATAAAGTTATTGCATGAGTACTAAATATATTAGAGGTCTAAATCTTAAACGCTTAAAACACCCACAGTGACTATTAACTATGGCTTCGTACTCAAGCACAGCGATTGGCTACCGTGTGTTGTCCAGCATTTTGATTGGTTGTTAGGAAAGCGAAATAGGAGTCGTATTGCAATACGTTTTCCATTCAAATGTGGTCGACAGAGAAACTGTTAGGGAGGGCTGAATAAAACTAGATCTCAGCTCGACTAAATCACACAGTTATTAATTTCTATAAACCCTATTTATTTTTCATTAAAAATATATAATAGATATTAATAATTAATATCTTTAATATTCATATTTAATCGGTTAATATAGACGATGGAGGACTACCTCCTTTGCCGCCAATGACAGATGCACCTCCTCCTCCTCCTCCTTCGGTACCACCACCACCACCACCACCACCGAGTACAGACCCACCACCACCCCCTCCACAAACAGATACACCGGCTCCACCGCAGACGGATGCTCCCCCACCACCACCAACTCAAGGACCACCACCACCAACTGCAGCACCAGGTATGATAAAACAATAGATGAAAATTCGATTGATTGCTTCTTTATTACCAAAATAATGGTAAAGTAAAATTAATCTTATTTTCTCTTTTTTTCCTTTTTTACTATCTTCGGTTCTGTTCTGTTCTGTTCTGTTCTGTTCTGTTCTGTTCTGTTCTGTTCNAGATAAATTGGATGTTATTTGAATGTGACTGGAATTGATTGGTTGTGACTGAAATGGATTGAAAGTGACTGGGGCTCAGTGACTGGGACTTGAATCACACATTTTGCTAGAAGGAGACCAAAAAACCGAAGGCATTTTACGACTGGGCTGCCACAGGCAACCCAGTAACCAGCTATATGACGTTTTCACTCATGTAAGAAGGCAGCCATATTGATGTACCAAGCATGAAAAACTTTCTGCACAGTTTTGCATTAAAGAAAGTTGAATTCCCCGAGGATAGAAAACTTTTTTTTGGGTGCACGAACATGGTCGCTGTGATATCATGTGCAAACGCGCTATCATTCATTCATCTCCTATCTTGGGGTCCTCTCTGCTCGAATATCGGGCACCTGATGGTCCCTTGATGTACGTTTGATTTCCAATGATTCCTTATTTTCATTTCTTGCTCAGGTCAATAAATGGTACAAGAAACACCAGCAAGACAGGAAATCCCGCGACTCGCCATTCTTGGTGTTCGCGAGAGATAATTTTGATAAGATACAGGAAGAGAAGAATTCCACCTCTGTTGTTTCGTTTGGGAGAACTGAGGTAATCATACTCCTTCCATCTTTTCTTGTCTTCTTTTTTCTTCCCTTCTCTTCCCTTCTTTTCTCTTCTCTTTTCTTCTGTTCTGTTCTGTTCTGTTCTGTTCTGTTCTGTTCTGTTCTGTTTTCTCTTCATCGTTCTTATCTTTTTCTCATTTGTCTTCCATTGGTTTCATAGATTGCAAGGACAAGGCCTTCAATTGCCAAGGCCATCTGAAAAAATACTGCAAAACCAGCTGGAACATTAAGTACACTTGGTGCCGCAAAACCTGTGGAGCGTGTGAGTACTAGTTAACAAACTGTCCATGATCTTTTACCTAGGTTTAGTTCAGTTTAAATTTGTTTTCTCATAATGGCCGACATGTAGTATTACTAGTTACAAAATAATCTCTCAAATGCCACGTGAGACATTAACATATTTAAAGTGATTTTAACTATTTTTTTTCCTTTTCTTTTGACAGGTGAGGAAGGAGGTACGTTATAGAAATCAGGTTATATTTCCGGTTTTCAACAGGTCATGGTACTATTGGATGAGGACGTTGTTATATTTGCAACTTCAATTTTAAGATTTATATTTCATTCGCAGATTGTAAAGACCGAGTTAACAACTGCTTCCGCTTGCAAAAGTTCTGCAATCGAGCAGCTGTAGCAATCATGTGCCAAAGAACCTGTAAAGTCTGTAAGTGCCATAACTAGCCATAATAAGCGGGTAGTTCTTTGGGGTGCACGTGACGTCATAGATGAGTGCATGTGACGTCATAGACGAGTGCATGTGACACCAAAGATGAGTGCACATGACGTCATGAATGAGTGCATGTGACATCATAGATGAATGCACAAGACGGCATAGATGAGTGCATGTGACATCATGGATGAGTGCATGTGACATCTTGGATGAGTGTTTGTGACGTCATAGATGAGTGCACGTGACGTCGTATACTGTCGAATGGTTCTAAGAAAGTTTTGGTCTGGATTTTTTTGACGTGTCAACCAAAAAGGTGGCTGTCTTTTGTCCTCAAATTTCTTGAATGGGAAAAAGATAATTGCATCTTATATCATGGCATGGTAAAAGTTTCGTTTGACTCAAAATCCTCAATGCCTGGTTATTGCGCATGCGTAGTTGTCTGACCATGGCGATAGCGTTCTTGAAAGTTTTCGCTTGAAAGGACCGAAGCCGCTGAAAGAAGGTTTGAATGGAGAGAAACGCTTTCATTTATCAACGTAAAATATACATGTTCCCGAGATTTAAAACTTATGCTTTCTGATGTTGGAAAAAAGCTTTTCGTCATAAATATATTTTAAATTTTGATGTTTTAATAGTTTTGATAGTGATTTTTCCTTTTCCCTGCAGGCTCATGATGACACATGGTATGCTTCTTGACGATCCTGCCATCAATGAAAGAAAAATAATAAAAACGATTTCCTCTTTCAATAAACTGTAAACGTAGTCGTTCTTTTGTCAGTTATATCTTAAAGTAAAACATGAACTTACACTAATGTCGCTGTAATCATAGGAAAATTTCAAACTAACCAATTCAATTCATTTCCCGAAAATCTTCGATAAAAAGCAATTTATTATTACCAATCACACAATATTTACTGTCATATACTGGCACCAAAACCATGCATGGGCTCCCTGTCTTACCAATCAAACATTTTACTGTGACTGTTGTCAAGCATAGATGTTTTTTTTCCATGAACATGGACACGTGTGTGGATGTTGTATCTCAAAGTGATAAATAAGGCAGTCGTAATATATAATGCTGATCTGGGGAGACGATAGCAGATATCAAAAACAATGCTTGATGTTTACTAGTGATAGCATTGAAATTGTCAACAAGGAAAGCAAATAGGAATATTTCCACAAGAAAAGAATCCTAAAAAAGAGCTAGAGGCGTAGACCTGTGATTTGTTTATAAAATGATTTTTATATCATATTGATTGCAAACAATCCTTCTAATTTCAGCTCAGTCAAGGTTGCCATTCCTGACGGATGTAATTCCCGTACCGATTTGTGAAACGTCTCGCCATTTCTTAACAACGATTTTTTAAACATCGCAAACAATCTAATAATTGGCAAAAGAAATACTCCCTAAATTGTTTTAAAATCTTTTAGACACCGCTAAATCACCCCTTGAACTAAAAGAATGCCTTTTTTATTAAGCTCATAAAACTCTATAATCAAGTACAATACATGAAAACTCCGAATTATATACTTGTTATTCTTAATTATTTATTTACTTAATCTAGCACCATTAATCTAAATATAACAGTATCTGTCAATCATTTCACTCTGTATAGTGATTTGTAATAAATTTATAATGCTGAAACATGTCAGGATCTAAAATATTACTCAATATTTAAAAGTTATTAAAGACACGGTTTAACATAGTCTTCACAGTTGTCTTCAGTTTTATTGTGCAAACTTCATGTTTTTTCGTATCCACTGTTTAGAAGGAAAAAAACAAAGCTACAAAGAGGATATAGTTTTTTGATAGCAATTGTTCTGGTCGTGCCATGGCATGAGTAACTGAACTCACAGATTAAACCCTGAAGTTGAACCCTGAAACAACCTCTGAGCTGATCTAAGTCAGGGAATGGCTAACTCACAGATTGAACCCTGAAATAACCTCTGGGCTGATTTAAGTCAGGGCACAGTTAACTCACAGATTGAGCCCTGAAACAACCTCTGGGCTGATCAGTACTTACAATATTTTCAACTTAAGCTATTTCCACTTTGCCTTTAGATTCTTAAGTAAACGTATCCTTGTCTACCCGGCACCAGGGTCTCGGTTTTTTATTAGAATATATGTAATAGATATTAGAATATATGTAATAGATATTAGTATATCTATAATAGATATTAGTATATATGTAATAGATATTAGTATATATGCAATAGATATTAGTATATATGCAATAGATATTAGTACTCATATCTTTAGATTTCAAATTTGATATTAACATTTACTGCCATTGACAAATGGTTACTATCCCTATCCACCACCACCACCACCACCAC